CCCCCATAGCTAGCAATCCAAAACAGTACAGTGGCACCTTTAAGACCAAGTTTTGTTCAGGTACAAGCTCTCCCTCCTCTGCGAGGACAGATCTGCACGTCCGTCCCCCCCAATAGCTAGCAATCCAAAACAGTCCAGCGGAGCCTGAGCGGTGGATGTTGTCTTCTGACACACTTCCGGTGATGTCAGGGGGTGTGGCCTATGCAAATGAGTTATGCTAATGAGTTGTGCTAATGAGCTCCTGCACCTCTTTTTCTACGAAATGACCCCTGCTCTGTAGTATACCCCTGATTCTAGGGGAAGTTACTTAGTTACTTCGTTTCAACCCGGCATTTCTTCCCAGCAGGGACCCAAAGCGCTGACATTGCCTCCTCCGTTTCCTCCTCACAACCACCGCCGTGTGAGGCTGAGAGGGGGTGCCTGGCCCAAGGTCACCCAGTAAGTTTCCCTGGCCGTGCGGGGATTCGAAATCCCTTCCCGGATTCCCTCTTCTGCAGGCACCGCAGCCAAATCTCCAGGGATTTCCCCTGCTGGAGCTGGCAACCTGTTATGTATTGGGACCAGGGTTCCCTCTAAGCTGAGTTAGTGTGAACCAGCTCACAGTTCTGTAGCCTCCGGCACACACATTTTTGTCTCAGGAAGGGATGGCTCCAGACAGAGGCAAACTAATTTATGCAGCAGCCGAATCGCTCGCTCACAACTTCAAGGCCAGTAGCTCACAAAGTGGAATTTCCGCTCATAAGACTCCACAGCTTAGAGGGAACATTGATTGGAAACATTGATTGTGGTATGTCACACCAGAGACTGGCTGAGCTTAGAGCACAAGAACAATAGCCTACCAGGACACCGGAAGTAACCAGTCTAGTAGTAAAAAGTAAAGGTTCCCTTGCAATTTCTTGCTTTCGAACTGCTAGGTTGGCAGGAGCTGGAACGAGAGACGGGAGCTCACTCCGTCATGCGGTACCCTGGGTCTCGAACTGCTGAACTACCGACCTTCCACAGCCTGCAGTTCAGCATCTTAACCACTTGAGCCACCGCAGCTCCTAGTCTAGTAGTAATGTCATGTAAATAGCCTACCATTGGGAGTGGGGTGTGTTTGGGTGTGGCAACGGCATGCTATTAAACAGAGCTGCGGCTCTGGGGTCCTGTCTTTGCTCTTGCTGAAATCACAAATAGTTGGAGCTGATCACTGGACTCGAGCCTGCTCATCCATGGAACCCACTATTTAACACAACCCTCTCTCCCGCCTGCAATGCACACTCAGCATTTTCCCTCTTTATATGCAAAGCCCAGAAGTTCTGGATCTCCTCTAGCCTTTTCTGCTGCCTCTTCTGGTTGAGCCAATTAGCCTCCAAACCTAGGCTTGCCAATTCATGGTTGGGAAATTCCTGGAGATTTGGGGGTGTTCCTAGGGAGGACTGGGTCTGGGGACCTTAGCAGGGTATTGGGCTCTTTTTGTAGAAAAAGCCCAGCAGGAACTCATTAGCATACTAGGCCACACCCAACTCATTAGCATTTTGAGCCACACCCCTGACAGCACAGCTCATTAGCACATTAGGCCGCACCCCCGTGTTACCAGACGTGTGGTCATCCAGCCACACCCACCTTTTGCTTGTTATTCTGTTTACCTTGTTTGTTGTCAAAACCCAGGGCCTTTTTTTGTAGCAGGAACTCCTTTGCATGTTAGGCCACACACCCCTAATGTAGCCAATCCTAATGAGTTCCTGCTCTTGGGTGTGGCCTATTATGCTAATGAGTTCCTGCTGGGCGTGGCCAACTTGGGAGCCAGCCGGAACTCCGTTCCTGCCCCAAAATAGCCCTGCTGCCACAGAGCCCACCCTTCAAAGCAGTCCTTTTCTCTAGGGGAACTGCTCTTTGTGGCCTGGAGACAAGTCATATTTCCAGGAGGCTAGCTTTCCTAACCCCCTGCCACAAACCGTAGCTCTGCTGTCCTCCAAATATGAGGCTGGCCTCCTCTTTCAAGGGCAGCATCCACGCCTATCACCTCACCTCGTATATTGTGAGCCCTTTGTATCTTGCAGAGGGTCTCCAGTGCTCCGTCGGCTTCGTCCTCCATCGTGGTCAGCACGCCAATGGGGAGGCCAAAGTTACGTAGTGCGTGAGCCAGGGCATAGCCTACCTCCACCCAGAAGTCCTGTCCAGAGCTTACAATGGCAACATGAGCCCACTGGAAGTACTTGAGCACAGTGTAGATCACCGCTGAGCTCTGGGGCAACGCCCGGATAAAGGTGCCGTAACGCTCTGCCGCCGAATCGTCACTCAAGCAAGACCAGGAAAAAATGGGCTTGTTCCAAGCTCGGCCAAACCAACCCGCTGCCTCACAGATCGCAGGGTTGACGGGGCCGATAAAGCCAGAGGCATAGCGCTCTATGTTCACAAAGCCCACCAGGGCCTGAGAGGTCTGGCAGTCTTCATGGAGGAGGATGTAATCGAACCAGTAGCCCTGGTTCAGAGTCGGGTCTTTGTTGATGCGGGCAACAGCTAGCTGGGCCGCTACGTCCGGGTGGGCCTGGGCATAGACGGTGTCACACTTCCAGGGGCCCACCACTCCCACCCTAAAGGTAACCAGGTGGGCACCGCCAGGCAAACAAAGTATCAAGAGCCAAACGAGGAGGACTCGCCAGCGAGAACCTCTGCAGCGGCTCCACCTTGGGTGGTTGGAAAGCCGGAGTAGGAAACTCTGGAAGCCATACCAGGCTGGGATCATGTTGTTGTGGAGCCAGGGGGTGACACAGTGGAGAGAGAGGCAGGGAGAGGTGAAAGGGGAGAAGGCACAGCTTCCAGAGCCTTTAGTTCCTCAGCGGACAGGCCCAGAGGTCTTTAGTCACGGTAGGTCCATTGGCTTCCATCAGCTTGGTTAAGGTTCACCACCATGCACAATCAGAAAAGGAGAGGGAATGACGACCCTGGAAAAGAGAGAAAAAAGGATGAGAGGAAGACACTAAGACTTCTCGCCTGGCTGTGGGAGAACAGCAAGCAAATACAAATTTTCTGAATTATGTGTTCTATTTTTACCTAACTTTGCCCATTCTAAACCCTGTCTGTGTGAACAGTGCTGCCCAGGGAACATAAGAAGAGCCCTGCTGGATCAGACCAATTGTCCATCTAGTCCAGCATCCTGTCTGACACAGTGGCCAACCAGTTCCTCTGGAGGGCCAACAGTGGGGCACAGAGGCCAAGGCCTTCCCCTAATTGAAAGCCCTGCTGGATCAGGCCAGTAGTCCATCTAGTCCAGCATCCTGTCTCACACAGTGGCCAGCCCATTCCTCTGAAGGGCCAATAGGGTTGCCAAGTCCTTACCTGTTGCAGAGTGGAGGAGTCCAGTCTCGTCCCGGGAGTCTATCATGTCGGGCACGCTGGGGGCGGGGCCACAATCATCCGAGGGGAAACCACAGAGTTTTCCCTCAGATGACTGCGGCCCCGCCCCCAACGCGCCCGACGCGACTGCGTCACTTCCGGGTGACGTGCTGACGCCGGGCACGTCGCCTGCTTTGGGGGTGGAGTTCCCCCCGGGGCCCGATCCGCCGGTGGCGGGTAACAGGCCTCTGGGGCGGGGGTTTCCCCGCCCCCCGGGGGGACTTTGCAAGCCCGATCCGCTGGCGGCGGGTAACGGACCTCTCGGGCGGGGATTTCCCCGCCCCCCGGGGGGACTTGGCAAGCCTAAGGGCCAACAGCAGAGCATAGAGGATGAGGCCTTCATAAGAATGTAAGAAGAACCCTGCTGGATCAGACCAATGGTCCATCTAGTCCAGCATCCTGTCTCACACAGTGGCCAACCAGTTCCTCTGGAGAGCAAACAACAGGAAATAGAGGCCGAGGCCATCCTCCTGGCTCTGGGATTCAGGTGGACTATGGCCAATGCCTTCCCTTCTTTGGCTGCCATCTTGCCTCTCCTAGCAATCTACACCAGGGGTGTCAAACATGCAGCCCGGGGGCCGGATGAGGCCTCCGGAGGGCCTCCATCAGGCCTGCAGTGGAACTAGCCATCTCCTGCTTCCAGTTCTGCTGCTGCTGCTGCTGCTGCTGCTGCTGCATCATAGCTTGCGTCGCCAGACTCTCCCAATCACTCGGCCATTTTATGTTTTAACCTGGGTCCGAGACTCAGAACTCTGAGCATGAGATTTCTGTGGTGAATGTCAATAAATCAAAAGTAGGTTCGCAGCTTACAGAGCTAATGTTTTAAGCATGTTTTTATTTTAAGTTTAAAAAATATCTTTGCGTTTGTGTCCTTTATAAAGTTTATATCTCCGCTACCTGGCATTACATTTCATGACACACATGGCCCCGCCCAACAAGGTCTCATTTATGTCAGAGCCGGCCCTCATAACAAATGAGTTCGACACCCCTGATCTACGCATTTATAAAAGTCGTTTTGTCTCCAAGGGCAGGCCCTGAGCAGCCATTTTGATACCAAGATTTGCAGGGGCTGTATTACCTTACAAATCTGCTCATCTTTCTTTGCGGGGGCCAAGATAAACCCTTCCCATCTCTTGGTAACTACCGTTGACACCAGCCCTCTCATATTGCCGTTCCTATAGGGAAGGAGTTCCTAACCTGGTGCTCATTGGATCCATGGCTAGGGTTGCCAGGTCTGGGTTGGAGAATACCTGGAGACTTTGGGGGTGGATCCGGGAGAGGGCGGGGTTTGGAGTGGGGAGGAGCCTCAGCATGGTCCAAGGCCATAGAGTCCACCCTTCAATGCAGCCATTTTCTCCAGTGGAGCTGATCTCTGTCAGCTGGAGATGAGCTGTAAAAGTGGGATATCCCCAGGCCCCACCTGGAGGCTGGCAACCCTAGCCATGAAGCCCACCGACATCTTTTCCAGTGCCCATTCCAGGTTTTTAGAAAGTGGGCGGGGCCAAGTGGGGCTTTGGCCAAGCAGGGCTTCTGATTGGCAGTTGGAAATCTAATTGATTTTGCAGATTTTTATAAAGTTGCTTCAGCGAGAGTTGCCACCACGGCACGGGGGTATCCACCGTGTTCCTGCGTGTGTTTTAAAAGGCATCCTGTTAAACAGAGCTTGTACCTGAAGTGCTGAAGAGTTTCTATTAGATTCTATTCTATTTGATTTGGCATGAAATGAAAAGAGTTGATTAATACGAAGGGATTATTATGAAAATTATGAATGAATTGTTCTGATTAATAGTGTATTTAGAACGTTTGGATTGTTGGTTTCGCGATGGATCAGGTTAAATTATTATTTAAAATCAAATTATTAAGGTATAATATTTATAAGGTTCTATAAGGTTCTATGACTTTAAAGACGAATTATGAGTGGGCTTATTTAGAGGTAAAAAATGACTAAGTGGAAATTCAAATAGTAGACTGTCTTAAGAAAAGAAGGTTGTGAAAGAAAAGCATAAAATGTTAATAATGGATGTATGCACTGGCAAAAGTGTTCTACTTCAAGTTAAGGATTGATTAAGAAGGTAAATGTAATGTTGGATAGACCTGTTGCTGTTTAGAAGCTATTTATATAAGGTTATAATTGGATGGATTATAAATTTAAGCACAATATAGGTGGATGCATTTTATTGAAAACCCAATAAAAATATTATTAAAAAAAAAGAGTTTCTATTAGATTCTTGCATAACCGCACTCTCTGACATACCACGGTTAGCTCCACCTCCTGCGGCAGCCATTTTGTGGTTGGCTTCACCTCTCGCGGCAGCCATTCCGTAGCTGCATGCAGCATCACGTGACAGAATCCCAAAGGTGCCCAGAGATGTGCCAAAGTTGGGGACCCATGATATAGGGCATCTAAAGGCTACAACAAGAAAGAAAGCTCTCTCCGTTCAAACGCACACACGGGGTCATGGCAGGAGAGGACAAATGCTTTGGCCTAAGTCCACCCTATCCCATCAGCCTTGGCTGGTATTAGTCAAACCACTGCTCTGCCGCCCCATCCCGCAAATCCTAATCTCACCGCTGAACTAAAACAGGACTGACCTTTTGGCCTTAACTGCCAGGTCCTATTAGACATGAGTCAGAGAGATGGCTTTCACGTACCCACATGGGCCCAGCAGGTCACCTCTACCTTCTGAGAAGCAACAAGGGCTGCTGACTTCATTGCAGGGATACCGCATGTCCCAGCCCCAACCAGTGCTCCCTCTAAGCTGAGTCAGGGTGAGCCAGCTCACAGTTTTTTAGCCTCTGGCTCACACACTTCTGTCTTAGCTCAGGAAGGATGGCTTCAGAGCAAACTAATTTATGCAGCAGCCAAACTGCTCCCTCACAACTTTAATGCCAGGAGCTCACAAAGTAGAATTTTTGCTCACAGGGCTCCATAGCTTAGAGGGGGCATTGGCCCCAACCCCATTAAATTCATGAGTTCATAATGCTGTGGAGACTTATTTATCTATTTATAATTTCAGCTTATAGCCCGCCCTCCCCGCAATGCAGGCTCAGGGCGGCTCACAGATAGGCATACGCCAACACATAAAACAGTTAAAACCATAAAAACCATTATTACAAAATTACAACATGTTAAGTGCTCTAGATGTTCTAAAACGAAGACTTTCATCAAGATGGCATGTCTTTAGGGCTGCCAAGTCCCCCCGGGGGACGGAAATCCCCCCGCCCCAGAGGCCCGTTTGCCGACGCCGTGGAATCAGGCCCCGGGGGGAACCCCGCCCCAGTGTGCACGTCACAGGGAAGTGACGTTATGACGCCGGGCACGCTGGGGGCGGGGCCACGGCCATACAAGGGAAAACTCTATGGTTTTCCCTTGTATGGTCATGGCCCCGCCCCCAGCATGCCCAGCGTCATGGCATCACTTCCCTGTGACATGCATGCGGTGCGTGTGCCCTTCGCGCGTGTGCGCACCGGAGCCACCCCGGAGTCCCCCGCCGGCAAGGTAAGTCGGACTTGGCAACCCTACATGTCTTAGATGGTATATCCACTCAGTGTTATCAGCTCCACATGGCGCTGTCGTTCTTCTTTCCCAGGGCCAGTTAATAATGATGGTACGATAGTTGCGGGTGCTGCCCAAAGGCCTGGCGGAAGAGCTCCGTCTTACAGGCCCTGCGGAACTCCTCTGGGAGCTGGTTCCACCAGGAAGGAGCCGCCACCGAAAAAGCTCTGGCCCTGGTAGCAGCCAGCCTGGACAAGGCCAGACTGGACAAGGGAGTGCTCCTCGATTCCCCACCCCCAATTTCATTCACACACACAAGTTTAAATAAATTACACAAATGGAGGAGGGGAGAATTTTAGAAGCCAGATATAATAAAAACATGCGAAGGGAATGTGTTTGTAGAAATGGAGAAGAAACTTTAGAACATGTTTTTTTTTATTGTAGATTATACCAGCACAGTAGAGAAATATTTATAAATCCCATTATTAAATCACATCCAGGACATAGTAGGGGGACTCTATTCTGCTATGGTCAGGCCTCACCTGGAGTTCTGTGTCCAGTTTTGGGCACCACATTTTAGGAAGGATGTTGACAAGCTCAAGCGTGTCCAGAAGAGGGCAACCAGGATGGCGAGAGGGTTGGAATCCAAGTCTTATGAGGAAAGGCTGAAAGAGTTGGGCATGTTTAGCCTGGGAAAGAGAAGGCTTAGAGCGGACAGGATTGCAGTCTTCAAGTATCTGAAGGGCTGTCATGTAGAAGATGGAGCAGATCTATTCTCTCTTGCTCCGGATTGCAAGACTAGATCTAATGGGTGGAAATTACAAGGGAGTTGTTACCGGCTAAATATCAGGAGA